TGTATTGTAGCAATGAACGACTCAGCCTCAATGCTTTGACAAACGAATTCGCTCTGACAAAACTGAAAACAAAAATTCAATCCCATGACAGCTGTCGGAAGAAACAATTCGGTGAATTCTGTCATCGCCAGTCACAAGGAGCTGAACTGTTGCACAAACTGTCTAAAAAAGACAGGATTTTTTTCAGAGCTTGTCAACTAAGCAAGCCCAAAACAAAGCTATTCTCGCCCTGACTCTCCAGCGAAAACTGACTACTTCCTCACCTTAAAAGTGGACATCTAAACAGTAACTTGGGGGGGGGGGGAGTCAGTCTCCTGCTTCCTGTTTCGGCACAAATGAATAATTAGGGTTCGAGACTAAGGGCAGGTTAGAAATAGTTATGGTAGCGTAATCCATCTAACCTGACCGAAGGAAAAGCCAGATATGAATTGCATAATTAGCAAACTCCCGTTAAGGGAGAGCAAGAACACGCACATAGGAAAAGAAAAACAAAAGAAAATATGAAAGTAAACGACAAGACGTAGGCTGTTCATTATAGGTCCTTTCCAAGTATCAAGCAAGCCACGATCGGCAATTTGCATAAATCAAATGAGCAGTCTATTAAAAGACAACAAATCACTGGTTCAACTTTTAAGATAACATGTAATTAGGTTCAGAGAGATCTCACCAAATAATGATGTTTCATGAAATCAATTTGACATAAGAAAAGTATAATAATCATGCATCAATTAAATGAGATACTGAAGTTAAATAAAGTATTTAAATGAAGTGATTACTGGTATGAATAAATAAAGCACCGAATTTACACAATACACATCGTCACCTGTTATTTGCGTGACAAAGTTTAATAAATCCACGCATTTCTCTTAGTGAAGAATAATAGTTTAAGTATAGTGAGAAATCAGTTTCTATGTTATGATAAATAAAAGCAAAAGCCATCATCATTATTAAGCCATAAAACAATACACAATAAAAAAAAACTCCATGAAAAAAGAACAATCAAAATAAAAAACAAACAATACCTTAAAACTGCCTGATCTCTGCTATTATCCATAGAGTAAGAAAGAGCGTTAAAAACGTCGGCTTTCTGAAAGAAAGTCGAACGTGTATCACAGAGTAAAAAGCAATTCGCAACTGATTTTACAAGGTCGCTGACCCGACCTTTTATACCCATAAGGTAGGTGCCAAGGTCAGTCCCCTCGAGTCTGCTCAGCAAGAATTGTTATAGGGTCATTACAGCTTTTCTTTTCATTATCGTTATGATTGCTCATTTTCTTTAGACAGACAGATGCATTTAATAAAAACACTTCATTCATATACATAAAAGAAACAAAAAAACATACAGGAATTAAAACATAAAAGAAAATACAATTATGCCGACTAGCCAACAAGGCTTGGCGCAAAACATCCAATTGTTATGCCCGTCGCCAGCTCTTCAGCGTACATTCCAGCCAAACAAGCAGCTTCCTCCTCAGTAATGACCGTAGCATCTCGTCCAGGGCGTCCCGATCGTTCGTCAGCGTCTCCTGTAGACGCTAACAGGAAGAATATAAGCCTTCTGCGCCTTCTAGTTTTCGTTACGGCCTGGCGCCAGGGTAGTTGGGGGTGTGATGACGTCATTGTGTCCATACACAGGGACGAGAGCGGTAAGTAGGAGCGGAGGTGTCACCTCACTACACATATTACAGAACCGACAGACAATATTGGCAGAATCAGCAGCTTCATATAGTGGCTCAGGAAGAATAGAAAAATGGCACTTACTGTCTGCTTTAAAAATTCAATCACTACAAGTAGAAATGCTTGACCGCGTATACTCACCTTAGCAAAAATATAATCACGGGTGACCTGAACTAGTATCTGGTGGCTAGATCATTTGAAGAGCTGTTAGACACCTTTTCTGGATGCACATATCAGGTTCATCACTTGATCACTTGATGGTAGAGTAACATGTCGCTATGTGGGAAGCATTAGCTCTTCTGTCCACTCTGCCCTCCTTACTAGGCTCAACATCAGAGCTATGCACAAGGACGTGTTTATAAACACAGTATGGCAGTGGGACAGAAGCGACGGTCATGACCTTCATGATGCCGTAAGTGAAACAGAATTGAACATTCTGGATGGAAATGTAGATGGCCAAACCAAAGCTCTGATGCGTCGTCATCTAGTTTCAATACATCAAGAAAACTTAGAGGCCAGGTAAATGAATCAACCTTCTTTTGGTCTTCACTGCAGAGCAACAACAGAACAAGGGCAGGGCTTGGATCCACAACAAACATTACTCTGCAAAGCGAAAATATCAATTCCGTGCTGCTACCCACTCAAGAATGAAAAGATAACAGAAACAGACTGTCACATGCTGGAAGGAAGACCTGCAAACCAAATTGATTGGTAACTCAGTGGTAAGTAAATCCAGTCGGAACTGCGGTAAGCAACTTCAGGGGTTTGCATGAGACAATGACATCCCTCCCCTCGACAAACTTAACGTGCCGCTTCCTAAATTGCCACCATAGACTTAATCACGACTCTTTGTGCATGCATATGACAAAACCCTTTATTCCCGTTAAGTGTACTGACCTGTTGACCAGACCATTTGCTGTACTGTTCCAAAAATGTATGGTGCAGAAGTCATGGCCAGAATTGTGGAAGGTTGCAAACGTTGTGGCTATTCACAAGATGACCAAAACATCTCTCATAAATCTTAGAGCCATCTCTCTTGCCCATCTTGCCGAAAGTCTATGAGAGAATTCTGGTCAAAAATGGCTAGCTTGATGAACAGCATCTCTCACCAGTAACATGCGGTTCGGATTTATGTCACAGAGATCAGTGTCAGACCTCTACCAACTTACGACTGCCTAGCAAAAATCCCTCGATGTCGGTGATGAAGCCTCTGTTACTGTACTTGACAGTGATACAATTAACAGACTGTGGCACAAGAGCATCATTGCCAAGCTGAAGAGCCTTGTTATAGCAGATCTGTTTATGCTACTTGAAGACTAACTACTTGGAAGAACAATGCAGGTGGTTGTATACGGCCGTACATCTTCCAAATTTCCAATCAAGACAAATGTCCCACAAGGCATTATTACCTGGCCCTTGCTGTGGAATGTCAATTTTAGGGATATTCTGCAGCACATGCGAAATGTCTATACCTATGCAGATGAAAAGGGTTCTCTAAGACCGAAATTTGTCAACATTCATCTCGACCCAAGTATTCCAGGCTTTGAGTAAAAGTAGCTACTAGTTGACAGCCTATAACTGTATCGATATGTAAGATATGTAAGAGAGGGAGAGAAGGGGGTGGGGGGCAGGGAAAGGGAGATAAAGAGAGAAAAGTAGATGGAAAGAGAATAGATGAAGAGAAAAAAGTAGGAGAGAAAAATAGGTAGAGAGAGAAAAGTAGAGAGAGAGGGAAATGGAAAGAGAGAGGGCAGGAGAGAGAGAGAGAGAGAGTGGTTGAGTTATATGTAGTTAATTTATATAAGCAGTTATATATATGTGTGTGTGATTGTGTGTGTGTGTGTATGTATATATATACGTGTGTGTGTGTGTGTGTGTTTGTGTGTGTGAGAGAGAGAGTTATATGTAGTTATATAAGCAGTTATATATATTATATACATATACACATACACCCACACATGCACACATACGCACACACATATGTGTATGTAATATATATATATATATATATATATATATATATATATATATATATATATATATACATACACCCACACACCCATATGTAAGTATATTCATAAGTGTGTGTTATATTAATAATATATATATATATATATATAATATATATATATATATATATATATATATATATATATATATATATATATATATATATATATATATATATATAGAGAGAGAGAGAGAGAGAGAGAGAGAGAGAGAGAGATATGTCAAGTATTAGATAGGTAATGTCTATGGAAGCAAGGTAGCTCCTAGTTGCACACTCCTTTTAGTGGGTCGTGTAGCAGTGGTTAGTGTGACCACCTTGCAGACCTGTTTGCAACGGCGGCGAGGGTTTGAATCCCGATCGGAGGGATTATAAATTTATCATATCAATGCGGTAGTGCATTATTCCATCTCTCATTAAATACACCACGGGATTTCTGATTTCTGATTTGAACTGTTCTTACCATATCTACCGAGTGCCCATGGGGAGTATGTGTAAAGGCACTATCCTTACTCAAGTATAAGTAGGTAGGTAGATTGATATAGAAAGGACGATGGATACATATCGATTAATAAATAAATATGCATGCATAAATATTACATAAGCTTACACATAGAAAACATTTAGAAATTTCTAAAGATATCCCTCTAATTTGATTAAGTTTAGTATATTAATATTTTCTTTCTCATAATTGTAGGATTTGGAGAAGAGACTTCTGGGAATATAACAGGAAGCAAAACAGGTCGGTATTGATAGAAGGACTGCGCCCGTACACGAGGTATGCACTGTACGTTTCTGCGTCCTATACGGATGCAGAAAAAAACGGCAAGCGGTCAAGGATTATTTATATCACCACTGCCCCTACAAGTAAGTCTTTAATCTGTTCGCCTGCTGGGGCGGTATTCACGATAAGTCATTTTTTTTACGATTTTGTCTAGGATTTGCGTTGTAAATCTCAAAGTTAATGCTGGTATTAGAACATTTATATTGTTATAGACAATCATTTAATCAATGGGGCTGACGCTGACGGGGCGCATAGCTGCATCCACCCTTTCGCTTCCAGCCACTGGCGTTCCTCATGGCGAGCTGCCAGGCAGGTTCCTCGGCCCATTTCTAACTCCTCACAGAAGTCTGATTGAGCTGCCCTAGCTACGACATCCTAGGTCGTCCCATAGGCCTCCTCCCATGGTTGTCTCATGAAGCGATAACCAGATGAGCATGGTCATCCACTGGGAAATTACCTAGGTTCCCATATAGCCTGAAGGCAGTCACAGATTATGCAAGTAACATGTCTCATGCCAGTCTCATGGTGTAA